GTGAAAACAAAATTACTGTGGAACACACGAAGTTTGCAACGCATGCTATATACGGTATAGTACGGACCTGTCTCGTCGACTTCGGCATCCGTCTGGATTCTATCGACTCGAGACAACGGAACTTTGCTGACTCTGACTTGGTGTCGCTTTCACCGAGTATTTTGCAGCCCGAATAGGCATGAAAGACACTGCTGATTACAGCCACTGCGGCAGCGATGAAACGATCGACCACGCTATTTAGTCGCTGCCCTCGCTACAGCGCGCGCCTGACTGCCGCTATAGCTGCTGTGTTAGCCAACCTTGACGACAGAACCTTGTCAGAACAGTTAATGCTCAAATGCTGACACGAACTGTCTTCGAATCAAAAATCAACCAAGTCCTTACTGAACTTTTTCCGTCGCAGTGGACTTTTGAATAGGCCATAGTGGTACCAACGGTAGTACTTCCACTCTACCTTTTCTTTATGTTTATATGCTTTTCTTTCGCGCTTGTACTTTTCTCTCCACTTTTCTTCCCATCTCTGTTCAGTTTCCTCCTTCCCTTATTTAGGCTAGCGAACTGGATGCTACAAATCTGGTTGCGCTTCAGTTTTTCTCTCATTTTATTATTGAACTTTCGTACACTAAGTGAAATAAACATCTGTTGTTCCTCGATTGCACGAGAACACAGGTGTGCTACGAAAAAATTGATAGCTGATCTACGAAGTGAATGCTGATGGTATATTGAAGCTCCTTAGGTTATTATTGAATGTTTATAAAATGCTTACGAAAAGATTACGACGGTGCCAGGTGGCCGTCGGGACGCACCGATGGACGCTGGTCGCGTCAGTCGCACCTTGCATCGAAATCTACAGCACTCGGCAAGAATGGAGATGCACGCATCGAGTTTTATTCTGACGGACCCCGTCTCAATGGGCACATGCGTTCACCGAACACACTTTGGCATTTACAAACTCACAAATTAACGGACGGACGCGTGGACAAATGTACGGACGCACGCACAGAAGGATGCACGGATGGACGGATAGATGGACAGAGTATGGGCGAGCAGATGCGCGGACAGTGAGGTGCACGAACAGAGTACGGTCTAATTAAAAACCATATGCACGCTAATAATGCTCTATTACTATAGTATGTAACAGCTGTGTTTCGGTCCGACGGGAAGCTACGACGACGACGACGACAACGAATGTCGTGCGAGCCTGAAAAGCTTTGAACGCCCCCCCCCCCCCCCCCACAAAAAAAAAAGTTGGCAGCATATCCACGGAGTGAATGATGGAGAGTGGGGCGAAGCATTCGTCCGTCCATTTGTTCTTGCTTCCGTCCGTCCATGCGTCCGTCTGTGTGACCGTCCATGCGTCCATCCGCCCGTCCGTGCGTGTGTCTGTTCGTGCGTCCAGTCCCTGCTGTTCGTCCATGCATCCGCCCCTGCACCCGTTCATGCGTCCATCCATGCATCTGTCTGTGTGTCCGTTCATCCATCTATTCAACACTCCAAGTACCACCATCTCGCATCTTTTCATCATATATTCCCCATATAGAAGCACCGCCATCCAGCGGACATTCCAAGGACTAAACGAAAATTGCACACGCACACTTTCTTACGGCTTGTGCTTCGGGTCTACTTCCCACCTTTAACCACCTCGAGTTCAAGGTATATACTAGTTCACTGTATTCATGGCACTGCGGCCAACGCTCGCTAATCCTTTCTAAAACCAAGGAGATTACGCCCAGCGAGCATAACGTAGCAACCTTTTCCTGTCAGATAGTGCTCAATGTACATGCCAATGGCTGCTAATGGTAAATAAGAGACAGGAGAATTCGGCTTTTACTTTCTTACGGCTTGCGCTTCGTATCTACTTCCCACCTTTAACCACCTCGAGTTCAAGGTATATACTAGTTCACTGTATTCATGGCACTGCGGCCAACGCTCGCTAAACCTTTCTAAAAACTAAGGAGGTTACACCCAGCGAGTATAACGTAGCAACCCTTTCTTGTCAGATAGTGCTCAATGTACATGCCAATGGCTGCTAATGGTAAATAAGAGACAGGAGAATTCGGCTTTTACTTTCTTACGGCTTGCGCTTCGTATCTACTTCCCACCTTTAACCACCTTGAGTTCAAGGTATATACTAGTTCACTTGTATTCATGGCACTGCGGCCAACGCTCGCTAAACCTTTCTAAAACTAAGGAGGTTACACCCAGCGAGTATAACGTAGCAACCCTTTCTTGTCAGATAGTGCTCAATGTACATGCCAACGGCTGATAATGGGGATCGCAGCGTGCGCGATAGCTAAAAGCCGAATGCTCGTGTCTCTCATTCCCCATTAGCAGCCATTGACATGTACATTGAGCACTATTTTTATTGTTCAACAACGCACAGAAAAAATCTTTCACCGGCACCACCTTGGAGGTCAAAATGTTATACCTGTTACATACTACAACGGCTACGAAGGACTATTGGGTGCAGTTATAAAAGCTTGGCCCCTAATACGAAACCTAATTATTGAGAAGTGCATCTACAGGCTTACTCCGGGCTTCCATTCCTAGAGCAGACTAGATGGAAACACGAACGCTTTCATAATGGGTGAGGGGAAGTTTGTACGCAAAAGTCTGTTGAGTACTTCGTACTCATCTAATGGGAGAGCAGTAAGCCGTCCCGTGCAGACTCCTAAGTGCCTCTCATTTCTCAGACAATGGTGGCTTCGAAAAAGCAGTGAATGAATCAGAGTACTTTGTACACTCTACTACGGGAGAAGCAGCAATAGTTCTGTTTTGACACATGTACACTATAACAAAACTACAAGCGAACAAACCTACGGAGTACCACTAAAGAAACATCGTTGCTTTCACATGGACACATCCATTTTCACTACGGAATGTTTCGACATGTCTACATCTAAAGAAGAAATACTACGGGAAGAATGAACAAATACCATCATATACACAGGCGCTTTAAGAGTATTTACAGTTATTGATTCAAGAAATCACCGCGACGCCACTTCTTGGGTATATTATACCAAATTTAATAAAGGTCACCACATCAGGACCATCCAACGCTGCTTATTAAGATGTATCTTTTTTATATCAAATGTTTTGGTAGAATAATGAATTCTGATTAGTTACGAGACCCGTCAAAACCTCCTAAAGACTGCACAATGTTCGTAAATAGTGAACTGAAGCAAAAATTAGTCTGCGTGGAACGATGAATCCACTAACAAACTACACCTATAAAAACCCGTGTTGAACAAGTAGAAATCTTGGACACACCAGGATTGTGTTAAGAAAGTGCTGCTACGCCGTCTGCGAATAAGAAGCACACACGTCACGCGCAGTCTCATTCTAACAAAGCAAGATAAGCCGAAATGTGAAGCGCTAGGAGACGAGTTAACTGTAAACGAAACTTTTTTGTTGCGCAAAATCTGAACGCTAAGAAAACTTTTTTTATTTTATTCCACGATGAACACTTTCCTGTTTTGCCAGTACCAGTTGTAGGTAAAGGTGTGCTTGTAGATAAATCATGGGCTTTTAGCTTTTCAACGGAAGCAGAATTTCTATCGAAAATTTAAATCCACCACGCACCTAACTAAATGTCTTTGTTTACCTCATCCACTTTCTCACGTTTGAGAAAATGTACAAGTTTTTATTCTTGTCACATGCGACCATCGCAACCCTTGCTCAGACAAGAGCTAGCTGAGGAGACCTACATTTTAACACAATTTATATCTTGCCTTTGGCGCATGATTATCTTAGTTGCCTATATGAAATTAAACCCAACGAAGAAGGAAGCAAACAAGCAGGTATGCAAGTAAACAAACAAACAAACCAACAAAAGCAGTAAAAGTACACACGCAAGTTATGTGGCTGTCATAGCATGTATGAAAAGGAGGAGGCAATACGTTACACTGGATTAAACTGCGTAATGAAAAAGAAATAAAAGTAGGGGGGACTAGACGTGACAATTGCCTAACGCAACAGAATACATGAATATAGATGCGTGAACTAGATGACCTTCTGTTTGCTTTTGAAGAAACAAAGGTTGATGATTATTTATATGTGGGGTTTAACGTGCCAAAACCACCATATGTATATGGGAAACGCCGTAGTGGAGGGCGCTGGATATTTCGACCACCCGGGGTTCTTTAACGTGCACCCCATTCTGAGCACACGGGCCTACAACATTTCCGCCTCCACCGGAAGTGCAGCCGCCGCAGCCGGGGTCCGAACCCGCGACCTGCGTGTCGGCAGCCGAGTACCTTAGCCACTAGACCACCGCGGCGGGGCGAAGAAACGAAGGTCATACACATGCTGGGAATTTGAACGAACATTGCTGTATAGTGAATTTTATTTAGAAGCGTTTACATTACTACTGAGGCAGTGGATTTACATCGTAACTAGTTCTTTATACAGAACTATTACACTCACAATTTAACCTGGGAGCATATGAGGAAAAAAAAAGAGAAGTTCGCTATTGTGCATCGCTATTTTTACGTACTCAATTGTATGTTATTTTATATAGCTAACAAATGTCTTGAATAATAAGTTGTCATTTAATAAAAAAAAACTTGACATCTCGGTAAATGAGGGACACCGTAACATTAACACTGCACAAAAGGAAATGTGCATTGCACTCAGGATACACTGTGCTGAAGAGAGTATATTACTAAACAAATTTTAACTTTTGACCGACACTGCCAATCAGCTGCCCAATTAGGCGCACAGTCAAACTAAGCAAAATAAAAACTTGCGTCATTTTCAGCATTTATATTGCAAAAATATATATACATTAACATTCGTAACTAACAAATATATCACTGCACTATAACTTAATACTCACGTTATTTCATATAATGAAAATTATAGGCAAATTCCGCACAGGTAATTACGTGTGGTTTGCTGTTATCAAGCCGTGAATTATTTGAATTTTTTAATTGAAAAACACATAACTCTTACTTTCAGAATGACGTAATATCAAACAAATATACTGTATTCGAACTCACTTGACATGTCCTCCAAGTAAAATTTGTTGGTGTTCACGTTATTAATGCCGACGTAGCAACACAGCAGGTGGCTTCACACATTTCCTGATAAAAAAGAAAATGACAAACGCACAATAGACTATTATATTTCTTTCTGTGTGAGAAAGAGGTACAGACTAATATAATCACTTGTTCTACTAGGTTTCCAGCAGGTTTAACAAACCTATACAGAACAGCTCTTGTCCTATTGCTGCTCAACTTTGACTTCATTTCGACGCGTACGCTCGTTATACTTCCACGTATAACTTAACAAGCCCGTTAGCCAGTTCTATTTGGTATTCTTTATGTTACCCAATGTTACACATTCGTAAAAGCACCTTACGCTAAGACAATGAAATCAACAAGGTAGTGCCAATGCTTGGCATATTGAAAGTAAGGACTGGCTGTATAGTGAAGGACCCTGTCATATCCACATCTGACAAGTGTTAACGCATACCAGTCCGCGTCACATTAGGCTTATGAGGGTATGTTACTTGAGTGGAGCTATTTGCCAACTTGCGTGCTTTGTTTCTTTTGTGGGCAACACCACTGATAACTTACCAAATGATGTTTTTCGAAAAAAAAATATTTCTGCAACTTCACGTTTTGTCAGGTTAAATATCTCAATGTCAGCGGCTCTGGCTTCACCAGGAGCACGGGTAGACTCCCCTCCAACTTCGAGATCATTAAATATTTGCATGTGCTATATACACGCACACATAGAAATGTACGCATCGATACACATAAATGAAAACTGAGCCCCTCTTCCTAATGTGCATATATATTCTGGCTACGCCTCTGTTTAACGGTGCCTGCCGTGACGACGCTTAGCACGAGCACGATGCACAACAAGTATTGTTTGCCTTTTCTCTACTACCTGTAAACTAAGAATAAGCAAATACGATCTGATTGTTCTCATGGTTGGACACTTTTTTTTTTACTTTCGATTGACGATGCCCGAAGCGAACACCGATGCGGTAGCTTCCTGCTGATTCTAGCTTTCCTCGCGTGATGCCTGTCACAACAGAATCTCTCTTGCGAGCAAAGGTCAAAGGGAAGTGCAGAGAGTTCTAAACCCGAGTTATGGCTCGATGCCCGCAGCGTTAGGGAGACGCAAACATCTTGCTACTATGCCTGAACAGGAAGGCTCCCAATACAGTCATTCAATGCCACAAGAGTCAATTTACCCGCACAACAAGGTACTGCGTTTCCTTTGTCGTCTCGTTTCTCTTGAGACTTGACTCCCAAGCGGGGCCCAACATAGGGGAATAAAGGCACACACAACGTTCCTGAAACAGCATAGCGAAGTCGAGACGGGCAAAGAACGAAACGTCAGCGTCAGCCGTTGCACGAAAATAGACGACACGACAGCGGACTTCCGCGCAACTACACATGTGGCAAACCCAGCACATAAAATAATAACAATGGCATTATAAAATATCAAGGCACGAGTAAGGTACTCGAGCACTGGCAACAGTTTACAGGGGTCGTTGCACCGCCCAGAGTCGACCTCTTCTTTGTCACTCTAGGCCGTGTTATTGCAATTTGTAGTTTGCATCTTTTACCGAGATTCCGCTAGAACTTTATCAAGCAAAGAAACTTTGAAACTGGAGAACTTCGACTATTCAGGTGCAGTTAACTGAGGACTGCGCTTCCTGTGAGAAAGAAGATATGTCATATGCAGAGTACGTATAGTTCGAGGGATGCAAATGTTGCCCCTAAGTTGAGCCTTCGCCATCTCAAACGTATCAATGTTCCGCCATGCAAACAGCACCTGTTATCCTCGTTGAAGTTAAGGCTTCTCTCGTCTGTTCTTAATACACACTGCGTTCGACATATTTGGCAATTACGGCGTTCGATTTCGATTTACGTGTCTGCTTTGATGTTCGATTGTTCAGTTTCGGCACATTTTCGCCGACATTACACTCGTAAAAGGCGCGGTTGCTTCCTAATTATTTGAATGACTTGTTGCAGTTGGTTGCCACGTTTGCGTTGAACAATATGAAAGACAAAACGATACAAAACGTATGTATACTTATTCCAAAAGAGAAGGTTATTTGGGTAAAATAAGAATGTTCCGCTATAGTATATATTCGTCTGCTTAATATTTAAAAGGGTGATAGTAAAGAAGGAGAAAAAAAGTACTGTAAGAACGGTTGCATTACCATATGTACACAATAATAAAAAAGTAAAACGCTGGCCTCGTAATAGGGTAATGATCGAACGGAATATCGTCAGGTAATGTAAATTTAAAAAATATAAACGAAGAAAGAAGCACTTATGGACACAACACACACTTTCTTGATCTCTAAACAAACTTTGATGCTAGAGTGCAAGTCTCAAGTTTTCCGTATGCAGGCAAGCAAATGAATCACGCAGCAGTGCCGAACAAAAATGTAAGACAGCTGCCAGTGCGTGGACTACAGGTACGCGTAATTTCTATTTACATGTACACTTCGACAACATCATGCGGGCGCGTCTCATCACTTTGATTGGGTGCGTGATGAACACTCGTGTAGGCTGTGCGCGCATGAGGTGGTCGTGCTTGCGTGCATCTGTGCATCCCCGTTTGCGTGAGGAACAGGTCATTCCCGCGATACCGAAGCTCGCCGAGGAAATAATACTTCAGCATTCGTCATCGCTCGATCGAAAACCTCTGAAGATACGCAACGAGGACGCACTAACGAGCTCGTGATTACTTTCCGATGCTATATTCATCCGCCTATTCGTGAGCCTGCCGTGGAAAACTATGTTAGTTCTCCCTTATCTCTGTTGTTTTTCTGCGCACATCGAATGTTTTTTTTCCGATGATTCCATCGTAAAGAGAAATGTTTGGGGCATTGCTTTCCTAGTTTCAGGATTTCTCCAGCAAATCATGGTACTTATTTTTAATGAAGAGTAGCAGTAATTTCGCCCGAACTACAGCCTCAACTAGAGACAATAACTCAGCAGCGTCCATAAAGAATTCCGTTTAACGAACAGTCTGCAGAGCTTGCTATTTCAATCGACACTACATAAGCTTATTCACTCAGTGCCAGGTGGAACGAATAAGAAAACGTGGATACCTTTCGTATTACGCGACGTGGCCAGGTAAGCTATGTCAGCACGTCTGTTGCGACCAACTGAAAGCAAGTCGTCATTTTCCAGTACAGTAGTGCTCCTGCAAGGCAATGCAGTGACCGTCATTATTAATTTTGAACCTCTTTGGTAGAATGTTGCTAATACACGACACCTTACGCCACAGAATCCTTTCATTTTCAAAGCTCTTAGGCGCCCGTTCATTACCGAGGTTTGCGGAGACATTACCCAGCACCACACAAAAACGTTTCGGCGATGGACTCTGGGACGTTACGCCGACTCTAAACTAACATATACATAAACATCCGCAGATTGCATACACACTACCCCGCAGCATACACAGTCCATGGTGTGGAAACATACCGACGCTCTACCACATGACGTGGGATTGTACGGCACAATACGAAAACAGGAGGGGGACAACTGCAGAGAAATGTGGGAGGCAATGCTGTCCATCCCCGTCCTTGAGGACCAGCGGAGGCTAGTCATGAGGGCTGAAATGATGGCGAGAGACAGCGGTGCATTGGAATAGGGGCCCCACTACGTGGCGTTGCCATGTTTTAGCGGCAACGCAGTCTTTTACGCAAATAAAGTTTTGTTCTTCTTCATGCGTCGAGCGGAGTCGTTGTCCTCGTAGCTGGCACAACGAACGAGGAAGAAAAAAATTGGCAGCATATCCACGGATTGAATGATGAAGAGTGGAGCGAAGCATTCGTCCGTCCATTCGTTCTTGCTTCCGTCCGTCCATGCGTCCGTCTGTGTGACCATCCATGCATCCACCCACCCGTCCGTGCGTGCGTCTGTTCGTGCGCTCGTCCCTGCGTTCGTCCATGCATCCGCCCCTGCGTCCGTTCATTCGTCCATACATGCATCTGTCTGTGTGTCCGTTCGTCCATCTATTCAACACTCCAAGTACCACCATCTTGCATCTTTTCATCATATATTCCCCATATAGAAGCACCACCATCCAGCGGACATTCCAAGGACTAAACGAGAGGTGGCACACGCACACTTTCTTACGGCTTGCGCTTCGGGTCTACTTCCCACCTTTAACCACCTCGAGTTCATGGTATATACTAGTTCACTGTATTCATGGCACTGCGGCCCAACGCTCGCTAAACCTTTCTAAAACCAAGGAGGTTACGCCCAGCGAGTATAACGTAGCAACCTTTTCCTGTCAGATAGTGCTCAATGTACATGCCAATGGCTGCTAATGGGAAATGAGAGGCAGGAGAGTTCGGCTTTTACTTTCTTACGGCTCGCATTTCGTATCTACTTCCCACCTTTAACCACCTCGAGTTCATTCATGGTATATACTAGTTCATTGTATTCATGGTACTGCGACTCAACGCTCGCTAAACCTTTCTAAAACTAAGGAGGTTACACCCAGCGAGTATAACGTAGCAAACCTTTCTTTTAAGATAGTGCTCAATGTACATGCCAATGGCTGCTAACGGAGAACGCAGCGTGCGCGTTAACTAAAAGCCGAATGCTCCTGTCTCTCATTGCACATTAGCAGCCATAGGCATGTACATTGAGCACTATTTTTTATTGTTCAACACGCACAGAAGAACGCAGGGACGGACGCAGGGACGGACGTGCGAACAGACGCACGCACGGACGGGTGGACGGACGCATGAACGGTCACACAGACGGACACAAGGACGGACGGACGGAAGCAAGAACGAATGGACGGACGAATGCTTCGCCCTACTCTCCATCATTCACTCCGTGGATATGCTGCCAATTTTTTTACGTCTTTTCAGCCTTTACGGTTTGAAAACGTATATTTTTCTGTGCTTTGAAACAACCTGAAACGCTACAATGTGAGGGTTTGCGCTAGTTGGTATACTCTATCCTCAATAATACTGAGCGCAAAAGTTGTCAGGCGAAAAAAGCAACAGTTTAGTATTGTTGAGCTATAAAGAGAGTTTCTCGATCGTTGATGCAATGAAACTGGTACTTGTTGTTTGTCGCCACTAACATTT